GATTTCTTTGAATATCCATTTCATACATGAGATTCAAATGATGTTCCAGTGCTAAGAAACTCAAGATTGCCATGTGTTTTATTGTGAGTAGAGAGGGGAAAGGGCAGGTTTACACTGGAGTAAGTAAAGCAAGATCTTGCAGAACCTCCTCATTTCAAGAAAGGATTTTAAGGTGAGAGGAAGGAATCTTGCGCTGAAAATCCCTTAGAGCCATGTTAGGGACTGAACATGAAAAGGATGGCACATCTGGGTTCAGAATGTTTGCTTCACCATTGTTCCCTTGACCGTGTTCTTTTCAAGAAGCGTCAGCCTCAAACAACAATGCAGACCGAGCCATAAGAAGCAATTTGGAAGCCACTGCTGAATTACACATACACAAAGTCTCAAAGTTGGAATAATAATTAAAAAATCATACTGGAAGCCTGTTGGGTGTTCCTTATTAGTTTCTTTTCTAACTCTGCAATTGCATGGATTTCATAGATTGGTGGGTTTTGGGTTGTGATTTTGTATGCTCTTGTTATCTGTTGTTAGATGCCCAGAGTTGATTCAGCAAGGTGGACAACCACAACCAATGAAATAATATTAGTGACAATAATAACACTAATGCTAATGCTAGTAAAAATGTCCCCAATACATTCACCATGGACAGAGAAATACAGATAAATCACTTTGTATTTTCCAAAAAATTCAGTTAGCTCTATATGTAGCAAAGCACATCTGTTGTCAAGTCAGAAATGGCTTCATAATGAGGAATAAAACCTCCTAAGATGTTAAATTCTCTTGAGATATTTTTAGTGAACTATTATGGAAATAACAAATAAATAATTTTCCCTCCAAAATGAGACAATGCCTGTAGACACTTCCTTTATTTCCCTACCCCACCCCCACCCCACATATATGCAAAGCCATTCAGTGTGACAACATTGCCCCCTGGTGTAAAAAGAGAGGAGGGGAGGCCTCTACTTATCTTTCCCAGGAGATTCTTGCATTCAAGAATGGTAAGTGTGGTTGAGAAGACATGAAGATTTCCAAGAAGACCTTAGCAGGTCTTGGGAAAATCAAAAGCTGGTCTTCAGTTTGTTGTTGTTGTTCAGTTGTTAAGTTGTGTCTGACTCTTCATGACCCCATGAACCATATTCCGTCAGGTCTTCCTGTCCTTCATTGCCTCCCTGAGTTTGCTCAGTTTCATGCTCATTGCTTCAG